GTTGGGGGCGATGCTGTGGTTTGGGATGGTTGACTGGATTGACTGAGGAGCGGTCGAGCTACAAACAGCTTCAAAGCAATGCTTGCAACTAGTTCAAAGCTGAGCACCAGACAAATGGCAAAAATACACACGCACACACACACACACACACACACACACACACACACACATCCCAGTCCCCCGCGCACCTTGGCTACGTTGTCCTTGTTGCCAGCCCAGGTCTTGAGGGTGGTGGACTGCAGGGCCCGGCCGTAAGAGAAGGTCAGGCTCCAGGGGGCGTTGGGGTACGCCTGCAGCACGCGTGGTGAGGGGCAGTGGTGAGGGGTGGTGATGATGGTGTTTGGAGGGTGGTTGATTGGTGCCGTGGAGGGCTGCGGCGGGTGCCGGGAGTTGCTGTTTGCATGTGCGATGAAGAGAATGTGGTGCCAGAGTTTGGAACGCTCATCAACTCACAGCAGCTTGCCGTGCAGCTCGCGGTGCAGTCAATGAGAGAGACCGTGTCGCAGCCCTTCACAGCCGAAGGGCGTCGCTGCTACCAACTAGAAGGACGAGGCCATCACAATTTCAGAGCAGTTGTGCAGCACACCAATACAACACACCCCTGCTCCAGGCAGCTGCCCACCTCCTGCAGCGCCTGGAGGTTGAGGGTGGACTCCTCCTCGCTCATGCCGCCAGACAGGAAGTGGATCCCGGGGACGGCCGGGGGGATGGAGCGCGCCATGGTGCGGACGGTGTACTGCGGTAGCAGGTTTGCGCGGTTGCCGGGTGTGGGTGGTTGTCTGTTGAGGGTGGTGGTTGGTTGTGGGTGCTGGCTGGGGATGGAGCGGGGCATGTTGCGGATGATGTACTGCACAAACAGGTTTGCACGCGCGCAATTGCGGGGTGGTGAAAAAAAATGTGGGTGGTCGTCGGATGTTGTTCCACATCCAAGATCCAGTGAAACAGAGGCTTTGATGGTAAATTTGGGCGGTTGACAGCACCAAAGACGCAACAAGGGAAGGGGCAGCCACACACGGAGCCGTTGCGCATCGCGTCGGGAAGGCTGAGTCAGAGCTTTGAATTGGATGGGCTGCCTGGCCGAGTGTGCCACACAGTCGAGCCCGCACCTTGGCCACCTCAGCGGGGGACGCGGTCGGAGCATCCAGGCCGGGCAGGCACACTGCAAGTCGGCAGAGGACAGGACCAGGTTTCAAGGGGGCGCAGGGGTGTGGGTTGAGGGGAGAAGTTGCGAGACAGCAGAGGGAAGATGCGATGCAAGCAACGCGGCTGAACACTCGGATTCGTTTGCCCACCAAGCACCACTAGATTTAAGCTGGACCACAACAGGGCAGACCAGCGGGGACAGGCAGACCCCTGCCCTCCTCAACACGTACATCAACACACACACACGCACACACACACACACACACACACACACACACACACACACACACACACACACACACACACACACA